AATTTGTGAAATATTTTTCTTGATCCATTTGTAATGTCCTCTCTCCTACCTAAATATAGGGCTTGGATTTTGGCAAAGCCACAGCACTTCTTGATTGTTTGTTTTTATAAGCAGGAATCTTGCTTCCTGACCTGAGTGTTATCTCTGTGTTGGAGGAAGGGGAAGATCTCTGGACTATGGACAGTGAAATGAAAACACCAAGAAACTCAAATGGCGGGGAAAGGATCCCGGGTTTGCATCCAGGTAAGAGCTCCGGTGGGCACAGTGGAAACCACACTATTGAACAGTGTTTGGGAAAGTTTGCAAGTCGGGGAGTTCAGTGGTCAAACAAAGTTTAAATCCTAGGAGCTCTAAGCGGAAATCTTTGCCCCTACTTACCACTCTGTTGTTTAGACATGTAATAGTTTATCCTTTCGCCCTCAAGTGGTGCTGCAGCTCAAACAGAGACCAAGGCAAAGTCTTTATTCTATGGGACAACACCTGTCATCTGGCTTCTGTGAAGTCTTTCCATCTGAATTTCCTGTAATGTTCACCTGATCCCTGGTAACCCACAGCCTGGTGCTGTCCTGTTGTTCTCTGGCTCTTATTTGCTGCCTGTGTTGCTGATGACGTAGTCCGTGGGTGTCCACACCGCTGCCCGGGTATGTTTCTGCTCTTTGCTGCCCGTAGCAGTACCCTTCAGTGTGAGCCATCCTCACTGTGGGTCATTTACTTATTTTTGTCCATGTAATTATTTATGCTCTTCTGGTGATAATTATGAAGTTAGATTTATTCATTTTAGATACATACACATAAGCTTTCATTCATTTCACAAGCACAGCTCTACGTCTACTAGTATGTAAGGTGGTGGTACCTCTGACATCATGCCCCTTTTGTTTTCAAAGAAATTTCACAGGCCGGGTGCGGTGGCTCACGCCTGTAATCCTAGCTCTCTGGGAGGCCGAGGCGGGCGGGTTGTTTGAGCTCAGGGGTTCGAAACCAGCCTGAGCAAGAGCGAGACCCCGTCTCTACTAAAA